GTACCCTACAGTTTAAATGCATCTAAGATCAGAAAACATTGTCATTTTCTCAGAATATACATTTAATATTAGAATCATTTTTCAATGATTTCGAAACAATTCGTTAGAAGCAGTTCTGGGCTTAAGGCCTGTAAACCCCTCCCTTCCATAAGCCTACTCTGCTCTGATTGGTCAGCTGGCCAAGTCTGTTGTAATTGGTCTTTCTGTATACAATGCGTGTTGGAAATTAACATTAACATCTTTTGCTCCGGAGGATTACTTGTAAACAAAGATGCTATAAGCTTACAAAAATGGCATTGATATTACCTTATCAATTTGAGCCAGAGTCTGAGGATGATACCGATGCAGTCGCTCAACCGGAAACTCCATTGCAAGCACGACTTGATCAGGACGTTTCTCACTGGTAAGTTTAAACTTTGTATGTGGTACTTTCCGGGATGACTTCACATCATCATCTTTCAGCAATAAAAACAAAACAAACTTGCTTTCACAACGCAGAACACAGCGTCTTCTCGACCTGATGTAAACACACTAACTAGCGGAAGTGTTTGTGGGCAGGTCAGAGTGTTCGTATTGTGCAGGCAGGGATTATGCAAATGTGTTACCTTGTGACGTATATAGGTAATAGGCAGAAGATTTGAAAATATGATGACTCGTTAAGGCGGTTCAGAATCGACTCTTTCTTTTTAGAGACAATATCTTCATTTATCATGCACTTTTTTTGATTAACAACATTTACATTGAAGGGTAGCTACGTTACAAACTGCAAAAAATATATTTTTCGAAAACCCATATGACCTGCTCTTTAATATTTCATGTGTCTGAGTTCGAGTACAAGTCTACCCGAGTGCGTCCATGTTCATTCATAGTCTGAGTCTGACTCCAAGTACCTCAACTCTGCCAGAGTGGTCCGATTTGTAAATGAATCGTTCTTTCAAGCCAGTTCTTTTCAACGAATAAGTTCTCCACTGATACAATTATTCTAACTGAGTTTTTGTTTGTGGTCACTATTAAAAATGGAGCGGTGCGAATATTCTTCTAAATTCACCTTTTGTGTTAAACAGAAATCATACGGGTTTATAACAACAAGTAAATAATGACAAATTACATTTTTAGGTCAAGTGTTCCAAAACTTTTCCAAAAGTGTATTACCTGTGGATCTGTCCATTTCTGTGAAGGTACTCAAGACCCTGAAGGACCTCTTTCAGCACAGTAGCTATACTGGGTTCATCCAGTACACCGTTCTTGTGTTCCCCTTTTGAAATGATGTGCTTTATAACATCCAACACAGAGCCTGCAACAAAGACAACACAGAGAGCTGTAAGTAGACACAATGTTATACCCTCATTAGTATTACAAGTGCAAACACTAGAAGAGCATCTGCGAAGGTCACATGCTAGGTAGGGCATTTCATGGCAGACTTAAAACATCAAAGACCAATGAGCTTCATTCTTGTGTGACTAGCTTGCAAGTTTTTCAGAACGTAAGACACAAATTTCATAATTTATAAAAAATGTCACTGACTGCTTCCCAAGAACCTTTGTTGTCTTTAAAAAGTCTTTTAGTTTTGTTTATGTATACACACAAGTTAATTTGACTATGTGACACCCAACAAACCAATATTGTTTTAACCCTAAAGACACCAAAGCAACTGTACAATAGGAAAACAATCTGTCAATCCTTATTTTTCCCATGACATTTAATTAAGGCATATTCAAGAGTCCATGAGGAAAATGTTCCATCAGCAACTTTATTAACCAGTTAGGCCATATTTCGAGCTTGGAGGATGGCCAATGTGTCTTAGAATGGCCTAAGAGATCGGTAAGACAAAGAGAGTCTGTTCATGCAACCACCCTAGAGCTGTATATGTAAAACATATCCATGTGAAAAGTTGGAGTAAACATAGCAAATAAAATTGTATCCCACTTAGCTTGAGTAATCAAAACTCTCTGAAATGAAATTCTGAGAAACTGAATTCTGAATTCCCAGAGTTCTGATCAAGTTAACTGCAGTGGCATCAAAGGGCTCTCTTCACTGATGCCGAAAACAGAACTTTAAACCCTCGGGAGGGAGAAGAGGTCAAGCAGCGTGCCATCAGCAGAGTGGGCGGCTGGCCAGTGTGTTTGAGGGACAGAGTGACAGTCCAAAGGCACAAGGATATTTATTTGAATGGAAACATAACAAAACTTGTCTATACACTACCGTTCAAAAGTTTGGCAGATTCCACAAAAATATTAAGCAGCACAACTGTTTTCAACATTGATAATAATAAGAAATGAAAAAAAAGATTTCTGGAGGATCATGAGACACTGAAGACTGGAGTAATGGCTTTGCATCACAGGATTAAATCACATTTTCTAATATATACAAAATAGAAAACAGTTCATTTAAATTGTAATAATATTTCACAATATTACTGTTTTTACTGCATTAGTAGTTTAAATAACAATCATAATCACCTTTTAAACCATTTCATAGCAAATACAAAAATACATGCACTGAATATGGTCAAAAGGGTGAAAAATACAGATATTAAAATTTTGTACAGGCCTCGAAATCAGGCCTCGACTCACCAGGAAAAACTGAGAGATCATAGCCTACAAAATCAAGGTAGTTTATCACACCCACACCCTAGTTCATGGTAAAAGTGATTCCAAGAAACAGAAAAAGGGCTCATGTGTTTTCTTATTTTGGTTCCATTCTTCTTCCATGGATTAAAAAGGGCATCAACGACCTCCAAGTCCTAAAGGCTGTTTCATATAAAAATATAAGTGAGCATTTGTGCGGGCATGTGTGTGGCATGAAGCCAGCGCACTGCTGACTGAGCGAACAGCACATCACATTTCAGTGACGGCTACGACCTGGATTAAGAGCAGTCAAGCTCTTACAGAGAGAGAGAGAGAGAGAGAGAGAGAGAGAGAGAGCAAATGACACTAATGACGTCAGTTTACAAACCCGTGTGAGGCTGATGGGTGAGGCTATTGAGTAAAACCAGCAAACATGCTTAGCGTCAGGAGAGATAAAAATGTACTGATTTCCCACAACTCCCCTCAATATATAAGACATAGTTCACCCAAAAATCCTGTCATTATTTACTCACCCTCATGTTGTTACAAACCATATGACTTTCTTCTCTGAAACACAAAAGCAGATATTTAGCAGAATGTTCACGCTGCTCTTTTCCATACAATGAAAGTGAATGGTGGTGACCATGAGTTGAAATATAGTGCACAAGTTTAGTGATTTTTTTTCTTTTTTGTCATTTTTGTAGTTTGACTTCTGGTCACCATTCACTTTCATTATGGAAAAGAGCAACTTCAACATCTTGTTGAAAATCATAGATTAAGAGGAACATGAGGGCGAATCATCCAAAAAACTTCATTTTTGAATGAACTAATCCCTTAACTATGAATGTAATGGTTCATTAATAAAACTTGTCCCGTGTCAGATCCCAAGAATGTTGCTCATCCTGGAACGCCTCAATCATGTGAAGCCACATGCTGAGGTGTGATTGCGATGTGACTGTAAACGCTTCTCATTTCATTAAATACCATATAAATCAATTTATGTCTTGATCACGAGCCAAGCTCCCTTTCCAAACGTCCTTGAAAGTAACTTTAACCGTGATGATGTGGCACAAAAGCATTCTTGATATTCTCTTGTGACACTTTGAGGAAAAGTATCACCAGGAAATCTCCCCAATGCCCATTCTGTTATTCCAATTATGCTTCCACAACAGGAAAAGAAAATGACTCTTTGTCCAACAGTTGTCAGACTATCTGACACTGCTTGCTTCCTAAGGTTCTTGCATTGGCGTGGGTGGAATATGCCATGTAGTGCTTACTGGGCCAAAGGGCACAAGGCCATACGGGGCGATGGTGAGGGAAAGATTACTCCAAGAAAATAAGGGTGGAGGAGCAGAGGGAATAAAGGGAAGATAGGAAGCATCTGTTTGCTCTCAGTGGGTTGTGACTATGGGCACAATGCCATATTTCAAAACATTACATGTGCTTAAAATCCACAAGACAGCGAAAGCTTTAGCTTAAAATATTAATGTACCAAAAATTTCAATTGCTCTGCTTGATGAATAATGAAAAAAAGACACAGTCAAGTGTCAAATTCACATTCTGTTGAAATTCCTTAGTGTGTGTGTGTGTGTGTGTGCTCTTACTCTTATGTCTGTGTATGATTAAGTATGTTAAAGGGGTCATATGAAGTTGCTAAAAAGAACATTATTTTGTGTATTTGGTGTAATGTGCGCCTTCACGACATGGTGGCAGCAACAATACAGCGAGAATAAAAGTTACGCCTTCTTTCTTTGCGTGAACATTTGGGCGGCGTTATGCAAATCTTCCCACATCGTGACGTACACATGTGGGGGCGTGTTAGAACGAGCCGTTTTAGGTAGGCGTGGTTGACTCTTAACTTTTATAAAGAATATCTCTTTGGATTTGAGAATTTAGTCTTTGCAACTTTACAGATCTTCTTTATGCACCAAGAGCTTGTAACACTCCAAAGAGAAAGGAAAAATTTAAATCGCATCATATGACCCCTTTAATATGCTAAGTGTCCAAAACACTATCTGATAAGTGGCTTTTTTATCTTGAACCTGTGGCCACGTTCACACAGCAGCAGAATATGGTTGTCAGTCCTGTATTTGAGTCCTTAAAACGTTTACGTTCACACACAGTACGGTTATTTACGGGCGTGACAACCGCATTCTCTAATCGAACTCACACCCGTAAACTCCACCCAAATATAAAAGCTGCTGTCGGTTAATGAGGGTTTGATGGATGACACTTGTGTCAGAAAGTGATAAGACTTTCAGTTTTATAGACGTCTCCATCTTTGATATTACTTTGGTCACTGTTGCTATGGTTACTGGTAAGGAATACGGGCTTGACTCCCGTTGCACGTTCATACAGACAGCATTCAAGATGCTACTGAAAGTTGCTGTGTGAACGGGACATTTCAAGACTCACACCTTTAAGCAAATATAGTCGTCAATCCCAAAAACTGACCGTGTGAATGTAGCCTGTGACAGTCATTACTTTTAGTACTGGATGGATGACATTTGGCTCCTTCTATGAAAAGTGTGCTTTTTACAGTTTGAGTAGGTCATTTTTAAAGTAATTTCTGTAATATTTTACATATTCTATCACATAAATAAAGTGAGTGAGTGTAAATAAATTTTGTATTATACCATTTTATGCGAACTTAATACATACATGCAGTCACCACTGATAAGCTACTACTAAATATTGTAGAAACTTAATTTTCTGTAAAGTTGCTTTGCAACGATTTGTATCGTAAAATAAGCTTGAATTTAATTTAATTTAATTTTAATATAAAAAAAATGCAAAAATAAATAAACAAAATAGTTATTGGAATTTTGCTGATGTGTAGAAAATATTATATTATCACATATATTATCACACAGGAAAAACTATTTCAACTTTTTAGAATGTGGTTAAGATTTTTATGTAATATTTTAAATATTCGGCAAGATAAATAAAGTGTTTAAGCATAAATTAATTTCATTATGCCTTTGTATGCACAATGAATACATTTTAAAATACAAAAGGATGATATATATATATATATATATATATATATATATATGTGTGTGTGTGTGTGTGTTTTTATTTTTGCTGATGTTTAGAAAATGTCTATTATCAAATAAAAGTTGGAGTCAGGTACAGCTTTTATTATTTAAAATTGTTCTATTAATGACCTTTATTTTTTACATGTACACAAAGGCAGCTGTTTGTAGAATTACCCATTTACATCCAGTGCAGCACAGAAGTAACAGCCAACAATGTGTGCTGAAGTCTTAAAACTCCCATCTAGCTGTAAAAGTTCTACTCACAAGTGCTGTTCAAAGGCTGGAGAGGACAGCCTCTTTTGTGCTTTGTGCTAATGAAGGTATTGATCGTATTCCTATCTCACATACCTTTGTACCTAACAAACAGGCCAGGCTGAGAAGCTGACTTTCTTTTTTCTGGCCTTTCTGTAAATGCTACAAGTAAATAAAGCAAGATCTGGTGTGAGATCTGGTATTCTTATTTACATTTCATTTTAAGGCCCTTTTATCTTCTTGGTACAGGACACTATAGAATACAGTGTTTCCTCTAGGATTTTTTTCCAGCTGTGGTGGCAGGACTGTTTCCCATGGATCACGCCCCCTTCCTCCTGGTGCTTAAACCTCCCCACCCACGAATCAGGTGCACTCAAACTCAGAATTAAATTGATTTGAACTAAAAAAGAATAAGAACAATTAAATAAATGACAAGC